GCTGTTCCCCAGGGGTGTCACACACTGTCCCCCAGGGATGCCAAACGCTGTTCCCCAGGGATGTCCCACGCTGTCCCCAGGGATGTCACACCCTGACCCCCAGGAATGTCACACAGAGCTCCCCAGGGATGTCACACAGAGCTCCCCAGGGATGTCCCACGCTGTCCCCAGGGCTGTCACACGCTGTCCCCTCTCCTCCTCACCCCACACAAGGGACGCGCTGCTGCCGCATCCCCCGGGTCCCGCTCTCCGGGGCTCGGAGAATCCGTCAGAATCCCCCGCCCATGTTTGGGCCCCGCTTCCCCAGGCCCGGCCGGGGCTGGGAGCGGAGGAGGAGGAGGAGGTGGAGGAGGAGGAAGAGGAGGAGGAGGAGGAGGAGAAGGAGGAGGAGGAGGAGGGGGCCCATATGGAGCAGCTCCTCGCCGAGAGCTGCAAGATGCGGAGCTGGCGGGGGGGCTCTGGAGCGCTGCGAGCCGGCGCCGCCACAGCCGAGCGATCGATGCGTGTGTGACAAAACAGCCCCGGCCGGGGAAGGTGACCTTGAGCGGCGCAGCGAGCAGGGAGGAGGGAGCGGAGCGCCCGGAATCCGCACGGAGATGATCCCCGGGCCGGGGAGGAGGGATGGAGGCGAGCAGAGAGATGAGGAGCCCCGTCCCCTCCTCTGTGCGCCCTCCCGGCTGCTCCAGGATGGGATCCAGGAGCTTGAGGAGCGCCTGGGGACTGTCCCTGCCCTGTCCCTGCCCTGTCCCGTCCCAGGGGTGCGGGATCTCTGGGGCAGCAGCGGGGACGTGAAGGCGCCATGGAGAAATGCCCCAAAAATCAATAACCGAGCCCCAAAACCACCCCGGCTCGGCCGCTGCAGGGCTCTGGGGAAGGGGACACTCCCTGCCCCAACCTGCGGGTGACAGGGACCCCACAGCCGCCCAAGACAAGACATCCGCCCTCAATCCGCGCTCTCCCCCAGCAAAGGCCGCTCGTTTCTCTCRGAAAATTGGGATTTCTGTAAATCTGGGAGCGCCCGGAGCCAGCCCTGCCCTGCCCTCACCCTCCTGCCGCGGCCCAGCCTTTCTCAGCTCCTCCAAACCCATCCCCGGGCTATTCCCAGCCCAGCGGGCATTCCCGGGAGTCCCAAATCCGCCCCGGGAGGGAGGGAAGGGGCACAGCGCGGCCGAAGGGAAGGTCCKGCGCTCCCCACACTCTGCCTTTGCCCTCTAGCGGGACAAACGCGCAGGACCCGGCTGGGAAAAACCAGGAGATTCCATCCTGCTGGGCCCCGTCTGGGGGAGAATTCCCAACTTTTCCATCAGCAGTGAATGGGATTTGCTGCGGGAGAGTTGGGATTTGGGGGCGTCGTCTTGCCTTGGGTGGATTTGGGGTCCCCGCGCCCCACGGGGGGATGGGGCAGGGGTGTCTCCGATTCCGGAGCTCTGCAGGGGCTGCTTTTGGGGAGGGGGATTCTGGGAGGTTCATCCCATGGGATCAGCGGGATAAAGGTTGAATCTGTGGGATTAAGGTGTGGGAAGGACGGGTGGGGGTGGAGGAGGATGTGGGGCAGAGCTGTCCCAAGGGCAACGCGACAACACGCGCTGGAATTCGGGATAAAACACCTCCAAATYCCCATTTTCSAAGGATTTTGGATCAACAATCCCTGCCAGAGCTGCGTTTTGCATGGAAAAAGGGAGAGAGGAGATGCCCACACTCCTGTGCCGGCGCTGCGGGCCCCGCGTCCCCGCGGACGAGAGGAGCCGGATCCTCTTCCCAGGTTTTCTGCCGCCGCCTTCGGATGCCTCCCCGGGCTCCCAGGGTGTGGGCTGAGCTCGGTGCTTTCGGCTCGGTGGGGTTTGGATTCGTGGTTTCGGCTCGGGGGTTTGGATTCTCCGGGGATGTGTCATCCCCCTCACGGTGTTTGTTCCACGTGGATAAAAATACGAGGGATGAATGCATCGCCTCGAAAATATCTCGCGCCGCTGGGCAGATCTTTCGGGGCGTTGGAGGCTGGGATTGATGGCAGAGATTTCAGCTCCATCCCGGTGATTTTCCTGCTGCTCCCGGGGGCTGCTTGACTCGAGGAGATGCAGGTTTTTCTGTGGTACCGAATCCAGGGATGCCCTCCCAAATCCGGGGATGCCTTCTCAAACCCAGGGATGCCCTCCCAAATCCGGGATGGCTTCTCAAACCCAGGGTTGCCTTCCTGAATCCAGGAATTGGTTCTTGAACTCAGACATGCCCTCTCAAATCCAGGAATGTCCTCCCAAATGCAGGAATGCCTTCCTGTATCCAGGGATTCCTTCCCAAACCCAGGGATTCCTTCCCAAACCCTGGGATTCCTTCACAAACCCAGGGATTCCTTCACAAACCAGAAATACCCTCCAAAATCTAGGAATGCCCTCCCAAACTCACGGATGCCCTCCCCAAACCAGGAATGCCTTCTCAAACCCAGGAATGCCCTCCAAAATCCAAGAATGATCCCCGAAACTCAGGGATGCCTTCCCAAATTCAGAAATGCTGTCCCAAACCCAGAAATGCCTTCCCAAAACCAGGAA